ATCAACACCAGTGAAGGGCACGTAGACATTGTATGCTTCCGGATAATACCCTGAGAATGAGGAATGGTTATGTAGAATTCTAGCCAAGAATTGTTGTTGTTGTTAGGTGCCATTGAGTTGATTCCAACTCACAGCGACCCTACAGGACAGAGAAGAACTGCCCCATAGGGTTTCCTAGGCTGAAATCTTTAGGGAAGCACACTGCCACATCTTTTCTCCTGCAGAGTGGCTGGTGAGTTTGAACCGTTGACCTTTTGATCAGCAGCTGAACACTTATTGTTTGTGCCACCAGGGCTAACCTAATTATTTGGAAATATCAGACAAAGCAGAATTTAGAAGCTTTTTATTAAGCAAAACAAAACGGGCCTGTATTTCTCAAAAATGCCAGTGTTGTGACAAAGACAATCTGAAGAACGGTTTCAGATTAAAGGAGACTAAAGGGACTTGTTATCTAAATGCAGTATGTGATCCTGGACTGGATCTTTACTTGAGGGAAAACATGCTATAGAGGACATCATTGGGACAATTGACAAAATTGGCATATAGATGGTAGATTAGATAAAAACATTATAACAAGGTTAATTTCCTAAATTTGATAACTGTCTTGATTATGTAAGAGATTATCTCTATTAGGAAACATACACTAAAGTATTAAATAGATACATACTTTTAATATTAAGTAACGTTGTTGTAAGAACCCTGGTGGCGCAGTGGTTAAGAGCTCAGCTGCTAACCAAAAGGTTGGCAGTTTCAATCCACCAGCTGCTCCTTGGAAACCCTCTAGGGCAGCTCTACTCTGTCCCATAGTTTCACTGTGAGTCTGAATTGACTCAACGGTAATGATTTTTTTTTTTTTAACGCTGATGTATGCAACCTACTGTCTGGGTGAATGCAACAAATAGTTCAGAAAAAATTAACATGTATTAGATATATGTATGTACGTGTGTATATATACATATATATGTATGAAATCTTGACCAGCAGAAGCTATCTGTATCAACTCTTCGCCTTTCCTTGTCTGAAGAATGCATGATTTCAACCCTTCTTACTTTTCCACATCTTTCTATTCAGTTCATTAAATCAGCAAAAGTTTACTGAGCACCTATTATGTTTAAATAATTCAACAAATATCCATATTGAGAGCTACTATTTGTTTAGTACCGGGATTACACAAATGAAAAGACCTGTAGTCTGGTAACGATATGTCAAGGTGCTGTAGGAACACACTGAGGGAGCTTTGAGGTGATGTTGAGCTGGATTTTGAAGGATGGGCAGTAGTAGGTTAGGAAGAAGCGAGAAAGGGAATTCCAGATGGAGATGAGCTGTGGGTAGAAAGGCATGGAGGTGTGCAAAGCGTGAAATAGTTGGTATGCCTGCAGTGAAGGTGTGTGTGAGGGTGGGATGGAAGATGAGCTAGGAGGTAGATCTTGAGGGCCTGTGTGTTAAACTAAAGCATTTGAACGTGAACCTAAAACTGTGAAAACTCCCTGAAATGTTTGAAGGTAGGGAGTGATCATATTTGTACTGGCACCACTTACTTATTAATTCCACTGATATTTATTGAGTCCCACTATAGGCCAGGAGCCCTGGTGATACAGTGGTTAAGCACTTGGCTACTAGCCGTAAGGTTGGCGAAGCCCGCTCCTCGGTGGAAAGATCTGGTGATCTGCTCCTGTAAGGATTACAGCCTGGAAAACCCTATGGGGCAGCTCTACTCTATCACGTGGGGTTGCTATGAGTCAAGAATTGACTCAAAGGTACCTAACAACAGCTATGGTCCGGGAGGTGTTCTAGGCTCTGGGAACTCATTAATGGAAAAACAAGACAAACATTCCCACCCACGTGGAGCTGCTAATGTTCTGGTCCTGAAATAAACAGTAAACATCATAAATAATCTATTTGAAAACAAACAAACAAACCCATTACTGTTGTGTTGATTCTGACTCATGGTGACCGTGTAGGACAGAGTAGAACTGCCGCATAGGGCTTCCCAGGAGCGGCTGGTTGATTTGAACTACCGATCTTTCGGCTAGCAGTCAAGCTCTTACCCACTGCGCCCCCATGGCTCCCAAATCTATCAATTATGTTAATGCTGTGAGAAAACTATGGAGAAAGTTAGAAAATTGAGACGAGAGGGTGAAAGTTATCAGAATAGTGCTTCTGAGAAAATGATGTCTGAGCCAAGACTTGACCAAAAGCCAAACCAGCGCTGCCATTAGATATCACTAGAGTTCTTAAAAATAAGATCGTTTTAAAAACCTACATTTCCTTCATATGATTAGATAAGAATATGAAATCAAAAAATAAGACTGGTTTTAATGTCATCCTCCTGCCACTTCTGGCCACAAGTTAAAAAGGAAATGGTTTAGTAGCTTCCAAGACCAGCATCCTTCAGGGAGTGGTTCCACATGCACTCCACACACCCACACGGAGCTAATGTTAGAGCCTGCTTCCACATGTCTGTTTTTATGCAACCTGACTAAACATTTGATTGTACCCGAGAATTAATTTTTTCAACTCAAGTTATGGAGGGACTTCCTGCCAGGATGTCCCGGGTGTTTGCACATACACGGTGTCATTTAGCCTCCCACGGTTCCTGCCTTGTCCACTAGGTAATCTAACCCCCCAGTGCTGGATCAAACTCTGAACAACCAGTAAGTGCTGAAGATCCAGTGTAAGCCTGTATGAACGCAGGGATTCAGAGGGGGGTGGTTCCTAGTTTGGTGAATTTGCTCCATCCTGGGGTCTGAAAGCAAATTTGCATGCTCACAAACCTGCAATGCAGGCTCAAGAAGAGCAAATCCTTGTCTGGGGAAGAGGCACATTAACCAGGACCTCAGAACTGGTGGATGAGATAGACTGACCATTCATCATAGGCCTGCACACTTGAGTCCTTCAGCCAGGACATGCTTTTACCCTAGAAAGGCACCATGATCACCCAGAAGACGGTAGAGCGTGGGGTCAGAGCCAACAAGGGAATTATGGAGTTGGGTCCTGATGGCACCCAGGCCAGCCAGCTAGAAGCTTTGCTCTCCCACTGTGCTTAGCTTGGAGCCCTGGTGGCACAGTGGTTAAGAAATTGGCTGCTAACCAAAAGGTCAGCAGTTCGAATCCACCAGCTGCTCCTTGGAAAGCCTGTTGGGCAGTTCTATTCTGTCCTATAGGGTCGCTGAGTCAGAATTGACTGGACGGCAATGGGTATGGATTTTGGTCTGGTGGTTAGCTTGGGCCCCAGATGGGACAGTTCTTGGGCCAGAACATTAGCCTCCCGGTGCAGAGCTTAGAGGAACCGTGCTGATACTTTCTTCTGTGCTTCTCTCACGCTCTTACAGCTTGTCACCTTTCTGAGTGAGGTCATCTTCTTTTGCATTAGTTCACATGGTAAACCCAGCTACAGGCTTGGCCTTTTCCTGCTCCCTTGGATGTTTGTTTTGTTTCGGGTGACTTTTCAGATGAGGGTGGGGGCACCTCATTTTCATCTTGTTGCGCTGCCTGGGGTGGTGGGGAGCTGGGAGTCAAACCCTAGACTGGTTCTTTTTCAAATCCTGGGTGCTTCGCTCTGTCTCATAGCTGCTTTTGGTACCCTCATAATGAGGGTAGGTAATATTTCTTTTTCTCTGTCCTTTGAGTATTATTTCAGATATAATAAGATAAATATATGGTGGTTTTGTCTTGGAGACTAAAGACATGGAAAATGTACTGCAAAAAGTAGATTTTGGTAATTCTAAGAAGGCTCGCCTAGATTTTCAAAATCCTGCCCCCTTCCTCCCCCCAGCTCTCTCCAAGTACACGCACCAATGTACCGTTTTACTGTGTAATGTTTCTAAAACCAATTCTGCCAGATCTGGTTTCCTAAACTTATTAAAATGATTTCCACTTTGCAGGAAACTCCCCTAAAATAGGTAGAAAGATTCTGCTTGGTCTCTTATAAGGTTGAAGGACTATTTTCACACTTTAATTTCCTCAAAGGAAAAAATCTGTGTTTTCATCATATACACTATATTAATGGTACGAGGTAGAGCTATTTTTAGTTGACATTTTCTTAAGTGACATAGAGAGCTGGAGAGAAATATCTATTTATATACATTTGCCCATATTCTTTTGCTAATACTTCTGTAAACGGTGAAAAAGGAAAAAAAAAAAAAAAACTGCAAGAGACAGTTTGTGTTATAATGTATATATAGCATTGAGATGGTGTAAGAATTATTTCATCTTTACACAGTGATCAAATTATGCTTTGTTATTACTATCGATTTTTTAAAAAAATCTGAGTTCCCTTTATTGTAACCCAAAACGAATCTGCCACACCTTTGATTTTTATCAGAGATGCTCATCCTATTCATAGATTCCAGCAGGAGTAGTTTGGTAATTATTGGTGAAGCAGTGATTTTTATTAGACTTTAAAGAGTGTCTCTAAAGAACCAGACAAACTTCCTTTAACTAGCTTATCCCCCTAATGCAATCCTGGTATTTTGTCAGGTAATAGATATTCACCTAAATTAGGAAGAGAATTGACCTTCTCTCCTCTGATGGAGTCCCTGGGTGGTGCAAATGGTTAACATGCTCGACTGCTAACTGCAAGTTTGGAAGTTCAAGCCCACCCAGAGGTGCCTCAGAAGAAAGGCCTGGCAATCTACTTCTGCAAAATTGGCCATTGAAAACCCTATGGAGCACAGTTCTACTCTGACACACATTGGGTCGCCATGAGTCTGAATTCACTCAGTGGTAACTAGTTTCCTCTGGTAATATGCTACTTCCCTGATGTCCCTGGGAGGGAGTGAGAGAATTATTACTGTCACTTTACAGAAGGGAAATGTAAGGACCCGAGTAGTCCACACTGGGCTGTAGGTGAGGCTTCCTCTGAGGTATCTGAATCCCATTCCATTGTTTAGCTTAAGGAGCCCTGTGCTTCCACTGACAATACTCAGGATAACGGATAAGGCTCATTGTATGCCACTATTCCTGATCTACTTTTTATTCTTAATCTGTTCCTCAGGAAGATTCCAAAGGAAAAGAACCTCATAAACCTGAAGACATACCAACTAAAGCCCAAGATTCTGTTTATCATGCCAAAGAAAGAAAGAAAAAAACTTTGGTAGAGCCTTTAATCACAAGCGGTGCAGGTAATGTGAAATTTCATTTTGCTGTAGGTGATTAAAAAATGCTACCAGATTAAGAATGCTTGTTTTTTTTTTCAGATGAATTTTCTACTGCAAAAATATTTCTTGACTCGTAACTATCTGATTGTTAATAAAATGTTCAGCTCTTAGGACAGCAGTAGGCAGAGCAGAAAAACAAAATTCCAATGCTGCAGGCAATGGCGTTCTCTAACTAGGAAGCCTTCCAAGATAAATGTGGTATTTAAAATGAATTCTGTAGTCTATGTGTACATCAGGGCTGGGCATATTTTTCTCTTAAGGACCAGTGACCCAGAAAACAACAAACAAATCAATCTCTTGAAGAAAACATGAAAATAAAAGCCATCTTACTTGTTGAGGTTTACTTTCTGAGTATGAGAGACAATGACAAGATTAAGCCTCAGAACTGATTTTAAAATGAGATAATTTTATATATACTACTGCGGCTGCTACTACCATTATTAGCATTTATTGAACTCTTCCTGCGTGCCAGTCTCTATATGAGGCTTTGTTCATGTCTTATTAGTATGTATGATAGATACTTAATAAGACACAAGTCCTGTGGCTGGTTCTGGAGAAGAAAGGAAGACGGCCAGAAGGAGAGGCCCTGCTTTACCTCTCTGCAGCCTCTGAAAACTTTTGGAAGTCATTTTTCTTAAAACTTTCTTCTCCCTTGGTTTTTATTACCAGATACGACAACTCAGGTTTTCTCCTTATTGTTCTCGATTATTTCTTAGCTTCTTCATTGCTCTTCTTTTTGCTTCCAGGCTAAAAATTTGGGCATTTCCCTAAAACTTGGCTCTTGGTCCTTTTTCCCTCCTGCCCTGCCCCCATTCCACAAATTGTCCTACAGTGTGCTAGTCACTGGTTTAGACCCTGGCGATGAGGAAGACATAATCCATCCCTCCACGGAGCTCACTATGTGATAGGTGAGGCAGATGTCTACACAAATATATGACACTAATACAATAAACCACTCAGTAGGAGTCAGGATGAGTCTCAAAGCAAAGCCTGTTTAACCTCTATCTGCCTGAAGTATTATAATGTACCAATAGTAATAAAAAATTAATCACCGTGTGTAAAATCTTTTCTTTGGCAATATATTCTACGGAAGTAGCTTGAGCTGCCCAGCATACACTGACCTTCCCTCTGGGAGGCAAATGGAGTGATAAGACTGTGGGCTTTGGAGTTCAGATTCTGGTCATGGCCTTCACATTAAAAAAACCAAAATCAAAAACCCACTGCTGTCAAGTTGATTTGGACTCATAGTAACCCCACAGGGTTTCCAAAGCTGTATATCTCTGCAGAAGCTGGCTGCCTCATCTTTCTCCCACGGAGCTGCTGGTGGTTTCCAACAGCTGACCTTTTGGTTAGCAGTCAGTCGCTTTAACCACTGTGTCACTAGCGCTCCTTTTGTCCTCAAATAACTGTGGGCAAATTTCTCACCCAGAAAATGGGAATACAGAGTTTGAGGATTACCATGAGTATTAAATATCAAATATATAGAATAGTGCTTGGGACCTAATGGATTCTTGAATATTAGTTAACTTCCCTTTTCTCTTACCTTCTATCTCTTCACCCATGAGAGTAGAAATAGTCAAGCTCCAGACTCTGGTGATGGTTCTTCTGGGTTGATGGTTGGGAAAGGAGATGAAGGTTAAAAATTGAATAGGTGAGGCGTGAGGTAGGTTCGGAGTCCCTGGATGGTATAAATGATTAATGCACTGGGCTGCTAACGGAAAGGTTGGAGGTTTGAGTCCACTCAGAGGTGCCTTGGAAGAAAAGCCTGGTATCTACTTCTGAAAAAATTAGCCATTGAAAATGCTATGGAGCACAGTTTTACTCTGATACACATGGGGTCGCCATGAGTTGGAATCCACTCAACGACAACTGGTTGGTTGTTGGGATAGGTCCAGGACTCTTGAATGAGAAATGGAGTGGGCATGCTATTGGAGTTTCCCGTTGTGGATGGACTTCCTGTCCTTGTCACTCCCAGCAGGGGTTGATTCTCAATCCTGGCTGAGCTTATAGATTCTTACATGTATATATTTTTGGTTGCTCAGGGAACTGGCTTGCCTACTTTTTTGTTTTTGCTGTTGCCTGTTGCTTCTGATCAGGTTGAAGATAAATTTTTCAAGAACCTTGGAATTTTATAAGCATAATACATCCAACTGTAATGCTAATTACCCCAGAACTAAACTAAACCCGTTGTCATCGAGTTGATTCTGACTTGTAGCAACCCTATAGGACAGAGTAGAACTGCCCCATAGGGTTTCCAAGGAGCAGCTGGTGGATTTAAACTGCCAACCTTTTGGTTAGCAGCCGTAGCTCTTAACCACTGCAACACCAGGGCTCCAAATGCTAATTAATATTATTTTTATCTATTGATTGAGGTGAATACCTCACAATGTACAACTTTAACACCCAGCTTGTTAAAACCTAGTTTGTTCAAACCTAGTTCTTAAAAATATTTTGAAGTAATAAAGCTACATTTCCTTAAATATATTCTATGATTTAGATGTCTGACCATTTGGTGGGATTGCTTCTTATTTCTAATTGAATTAATAGGGCACATCTTTGTTGAATGTGTAGTATATTTCAACTCTTGAACTGAATACTGTAGTGGGCAGGGCACAGAGATGACCACGACTTCCAGGGTGAGTGACCTTGTATGGAGACGGACATGCAGATAATGCTGAAATTAAGGCCCAATAAGCTGAGTACCTCTGTTGTTGTTGTTAGGTGCTGTCATGTCAATTTCGACTCATGAAGATCCCATGTGACAGAGTAGAACTGCCCCATAATGGGAGCAGATTGCCAGGTCTTTCTCCCATAGAGCTGCTAGGTAGGTATGAATCACTGCACCGCTAGGGCTCCTTCTGAATACCTCTATGGAAACGAAAACAAATGCCAATAGGAAAACAAAGGAGAGTGAGACCCCCTGGGAGGGTCTGTGATTACTCAGCCAGGTTGCCTGCTTGATGACACAAGAAGCTAAAAGGGTGTCAAGTTTTGCTCACCCTTATTGTATCTTTGACTCAGGTCAGAAAATGTACAATCTAGTTTCTCAAAGTCCGTTTTATTGTCCCTCAGAAGGTGATGTGTATAAAGCTCGGACTCCTAATGCAGAAACCCAAGGGGCACCAGAAGTAAAAGAGGACCAAGATGTGAAAGAGGAAGTGCCTGTGGATCAGGTACAGTTCATACTTGGGTTATGGGGTGAATCGGGAGTACCATTCTCATCCACCTTCTCCTAGTTAACTCAGCAGCTGTGAAGACCAAGCATCGATGCCCCTTCACTTGCAGGCCCTAGTTCTGCTCCATCAGCCCCTGCTTGCCTTTTCAGTCTCATCCTCAACCTCCTGTCCCCCAAAGTTATCCCTGGCCTCCTTCAGTATCTAGAATTAGATATTACTCCTCCTTCAGATCCTATATCAAACCTTTTCCTGCCTGCCCATTTCTCCCCTCACAGGATCTCCTGTTACATGGACCCTTATCACAGTCTGTGACTGCATACTCAGCTTGTAATTATTTGACTAATGTCTTTTTCTCCAACTAAGCTATAAGCTCCTTAAAGAAAGGGACTGGTCTGCTTTGCTCACTATTATAGCCCTGTACCTAGCAGAGTCCCTAGTATGTGAAACCAGAAAACCAAGCCTGCTGCTGTCGAGTTGATTCTGACTCATGACATCTACGTTGCAGGTTTGTAAGTGGACTTGGTGAAGTAGTTCAGGTGTAAAGACCTAATACAGTGCCTGGCACATAGTGGCCACTCAGTCACAGCTTCCTTCTTCTGGCTTCACAGAGCAGTGGGAAGTGGAGTCCTAAGAAGTGTCCAGAGGGAAAAGGAGGGAAATAAATGAGATAGGAATTGGGGAAAGGAGTAGAGAGAATGAGAAAGGGGTACTGAAAGTAAGACCCTCTGAGCTGTACCTCTATCAAAGCAAAAACAAAGCCAAGAGGAGAACAAGAATGAGAATGGGTGTGTGCAGAGTAACGATGCTGCACAGAACTTTTTAGCACGATGAATGATGGCAAAGTCAGAAGAAAGAAGAAGCCTGGCAGAGTGGAACAAGCACGGGGCTGAGAGTCAGAGGCCTGGGTTCCAGCCCCAGGTCTGCCACCACTGTTGTGCCTGGGCAAGTCTCCAAATCACTCTGGCCTCAATTCATTGATGCAAAGGAGAGATTGTGTCAGATGAGTACTAAAATTCATATTAGTTCCAAAATCACATGGTTTTGTCTTCAGTTGCTGGGATGGTTAAGATTGTGTGTCACCTTGGCTGGGCCATGATTCTCAGTGTTTTGGCAGTTGTATAATGTTGTGATCACTTCCCTGTTGAGACGTGATCCGTGATCTACTGCGAGTAGCCAGTCAGTTGTAAGGGGATTTCCTTGGGCGTGTGACCTGCATCCAAATATAAGCAGATGCCCTGGCAAGGCTCTAGGGCTTTTGCTCGTTCTGAGTCCTGTAGCTGGCTCCTGTTCATCTGACCTGCGGTTCTTGGGACTTGAGCTAGCAGCTTGCCTGCGGTCTTGCCTGCCAATCTTGGGATTCGTCGATCTTTGCAGCCTGTGAGCAAGAGCTCTGCTCTCCACCAGCCTGTTGATCTTGAGTTCACCAGCTCCTGCAGCTATGTGAATCAGGAGAAGCCTTGTGGTCTTGCCCGCCAATCTTGGGCTTCCTCGATCTTCACAGCCTGTAAGCAAGAGCCCTGCTCTCTGACCTGCCGATCTTGGGTTTGCCAGCCCCTGTGGCTCAGTGAATTAGGAGAAGCCTCCATCCTGATCCATGGACTTGGGATGTTCCAGCCTCTACAACTGCATGAGCCATTTCCTTGTTATAAATCTCTCTCTATATATATATATTTATATGCTTTACTAGTTTTGCTTCTCTAGAAAACCTAGCCTAAGACAATTGTTATCTGAAGGCACTAAAACCAAAAAAACAAAAACAAAAAACCAACCCCATGGCTGTCGTGTCGAATTCTGACTTATAGCGACCCTATAGGACAGAGTAGAACTGCCCCAGAGGGTTTCCAAGGCTGTAAATCTTTATGGAAGCAGACCGCCACATCTTTCTCCTATGGGGCAGCTGGTGGGCTGGAAACACTGACCTTTTGGTTAGCAGGCGAATGCTTAACCCCTGCACCAGGAGGGCTGTAAAAGTATATTTCAAATTGTTAGGTTTTGAGAAAAGAATTCCTATCCTGTAAAAGTTCAATATTAGCATTCGAATTTCATTTTCCTCTTTAATAGACCAGGTACTAACATAGCTTTTGTAATTATAAAGTACTGAATCCTGGTAACCAGTAAGCTTTTTTACTCCTCCTCTTCCGGTAATCAATCACTGTTAAATTTGTCACTTTATTTTTAACTTCTGCTATTTTTCTTTTTTGTGGTGTGTTTTAAAAATCTTATGGAACATGTCTTTCCATTTTCTGTTGTCATTTTCAGCTCTTTTCTACATGTCCTGCTCTATTTTCTAAATTATTAGTAATAGTATTTACTCTTTTCCTGTACCTGATAAAAAATAACCAAAAAGTTTGGTTTTCTCCTAAAATCTCTATTAATGGTTTAAATATTTTTATTGCACATTTAATAATTTGATAGTAATAGGAAATTAAAACATTTTAGGCAGTGACTTTTATGCTCAATTTATCCCTATTATTAATATAATATTGTGTGTTTTCTGGATTATAGATTGAGTGTGTTCTGTACAAGTTTTAAACATAGGTAATGGCCTAATATAACAAATACTGTACTATTGCCAGGCACGGATTATCCAATAGGCAAGGTAAGCACAGTGCCTACCCTACTTACCTGATCGTAGGTAGTGATACTGTTCACTACAGATTAGTAAGTAAGCACAAGTAAGCCTGTGCTTACCTTGCTTACTGGGTCATCTGCCCCTGTCAGAGATTGTAAATTTGAAAAGACGCTTTGATTCTGTAGGAAGGTGCTGTGGCGTTGGGAGAGAGAAAGATGTCAGTTATACCTAGAAGCAGAATCTTTGATGTGGTGAAAAAATGTGAGATTGTTCACTACAGATGATCTGGTAAGCAAAGTAAACAGTGTGCTTACCTTGCCTGTTGGCTAATCTGCCCCTGACTATTGCCGTAACCCTTTGCACATAATAAACATAAGTTTCAGTTGCTAGACTACTTAATTTCTGTTGTATTTGAGTCTGTGGAGTGAATTAGATTACTCCAGTCGGGTGTGTGGTGAGAGGAAAGAAGAAGGACAAACGTGAACTCTAGGGAGCTCCAACATTAAAGACTATTTGGAAGAAGAAGAGCTAGTAAAGGCAAGGGAAGAGGGTCAGGGAGAAGAGGGGGACCAGGGGCCTGATGCTGCATTGACTGATGGAGGAGAGGACTTTAAGAAAGAGAAACCACCTGGAAGTGTTGCTTTCTGTCTATCAGTTGTTCTCCAAGTTAGGTAGGGTTGGTGTGTCAGTGAACTGAGACTTTCTAGTAGTCAGGTGACAATATTAAAGTGAGTTCTATGACCTGGAACGAGAGTTAAACTAAGAGATCCCCAACTATGACTGATTCAATTGGCATAAAGTCTTCTTGAGTGTAAATTAGTCTAGCAGTTCTTCCTCTGTGTCATAATATGTGTCTGGTGTGTGATCAAATGAGAGAAGGCCCTTCAGGCAAGGAGAGAGAACTGCTGCTACCTGGTGTGTCTGAAATGAGGGGAGCTGGAGACAGTTGAGTGTTGGGGAAGGAACCTTCATGCATAGTGCACCTGGGGTAAGGGAAAGGTCTTGACTTACCTTCTTATCTTCCGCCATCCCATTACCTGATGCACAGCAGGTATCCAACAAATGTTTATTAAATCAGATTGAATTGGATACAAGAAGTCCCATGTGATTGGATAAATAGATGCAAGACACGATCAGGTTAAATTGAAGTTCAGATCATCTAGATAGGCCAGTGTCACCCAAACTATGTTCTGCATCTTTGAAAGCAGTTTCTGTGGTCAATTATATTTGGGAAGCCCTGCCTTTTACATCTCTTTCTTGGGGGAGTCACTGTGTACATTAGCATATTAAAGGTTTCAGAGAAGTCTTAGAGTTAAAAATGACTTTTAAGTTTTTGGTTAACTCTATTTACCAATGAACTCTTTTCCTTCCTAGAATACCTATGAGACATAGTCTAGGACCTTCCAATGCAGTTATCCAAGGACTTTCTTCTGCATGGATGAAGGAAAGAGGTGTTCATGTAGAGCAGGAAAACAGGATGTAGTTTGAGGCAACCCAGAGAACCTTCTCTACTCCTGGGGCAGACCTGGCTCAGGTGGGTGTACACATCAAAGTAGCTCAGAAGCCTAGAGAAGTACCTGAGAAAGGGTGGAGATGTGGTCTCACTATACTTTTGTGTTTGTATGCTGGGTAAGCTCTTTGTGCTGGGTTGTGTATCACTGATTTCCCTGGGGAAGGAGGGGTAGACCCTTATATTAAAAATGTTGGTGCTCAGAAATGCCCTTACAACATTCTGGTTTACTAATGAAGATGGTTTAACCTTAATATTATATTATTTAAACCAGGGGCAGATTATTCAATAAGCAAGGCAAGCACAGTGCTTACCAGATCATCTGTAGTGAATAATTTCACATTTTTTTCACCACGTCAAAGATTCTGCTTCTAGGTATAGCTGGCATCTATCTCTCTCCCAATCTCACAGAGCCTTCCTACAGAGTCAAAGCCTCTTTTCAAATTTACAATCCCTGACAGGGCGAATGACCCAGTAAGCAAGGTAAGAATGAGCTTACTTGTGCATATTTGCTAATCTGTAGTGAACAATTTCACCACATCTGTGAAATTATTCACTACAGTTTAGTAAGTATGCATAAGTAAGCCCCCGCTTACCTTGTTTATTGGATAACCCATCCCAGATTTAAATATAGTATTGACTTTTGTGATCTGGAATACTTTTCTCATCTTTCTGAGTAATTGGTTCTAACTTTGTGGGTTAGCCTGATCACCTTACATGGTATTTCTCTTTATGCCTGCAGCATTATACTTCCTGCACATTTGGTGTTATAAAGATAAAATGTTACAAAGAACATCCCAGATAATAAATTTGTGAATTTAGAGTCAGACCTTCTAGACTGAAAAAAGGAACCTCAAGAATTAGGAATCCTCCCAATCTCACATGATAGCTTTATAGATGATGATAAAGCCAAAC